CCCTTTTTCTGTTGAAGGAAGTTTGAGGAAAAAAAAAGAATGAGCTAAAAAGATGTATTGTAAAGATGATCTCCCTTGATAAGATTGGAATCTGTTGATAATGCTCAATGGGCCATTTGAATCTTTGGTTCTTAGGAGAGAGAAAGGGAGAGAGAGAGAAAGAGAAAGAAGAGAGAGAGAGAGAGAGAGAGAGAGAAGAGAGAAGAGAGAGGGAGAGGTGATGCCTAGTTTGTTTTCTATCGATTTCAGTAAAGATGATTTCACTGATGAAACAAGGTCGGTGGGCCAATTTTTAAAGGGGATCAAGGATGGAGGGGTGTCCATGGAGACCTGTGCAAGGGGCAAGGTTACGGTCCCCCGMAAGAGGCTGATGAATGAGCTTACGGATGTTTCAGAGGTGTGAAAAATCAGCTTCTCTGTCTCCAGAAAATAGGAGAGGCTGTCTTCTTTTTAACCTTTGTAATTCCCCTTCTATTCTCTGTGACATTCATTCAGCTGCCAAGAGCGTTTGGCAAGGTTTGGGCCAGCGAGCACACTTCCAGTGACCGCTAACCTTGGTATGTCCTGACACTTATGATGAGTATCTGCAGGACACAGAAGGCAGGCAGCCTGCTATGTCAGGCTTTTATTATGTACTGCAGAGGCTAGGGACAGTCAGTTTAATAAAACAAATCATCCTTGAAGGTAAAGCAACTGGGAAGAGGAGGAGGAAGACGGGGGGAAAAATGTCTTTGCCACTCATTCTGATTAAAAAAAAAAAAAAAAAAAAGAACAGCAAAACAGCTACCCACCCAACACACCGTGTGTGTGTGTGTGTGTGTGTGTGTGTGTGTGTGTGTGTGTGTGCGCTCAACCCAGCTGTGGACTGAGCAGACTTGAAACAGTCCCCTTGTTTCCCCCAGTTGCCTGAAGCCCACAAGGCCCTCCTTTGCTCTGAGGAGACTCAAGTACAAACAATTGTGATGAAATTGGTAGATGCTGCTAGCCAGCCCCCTTCAAACTGATGAGCTATTCAAGTCTTCAAGCACCTCGTCACAATCCTATTCTCTCCTCCAACTATTAAGGCAAAACCGTTTGGGGTGAGGCTCCCTTATTGGGATGCCTTTGTTATCAAAGCAAACTTTCCACTCTCCTCTCCTGAAGAACGCAGGGCAGAGCAGCTCCCACAATAGCCTCAGAGTTCCAGCCAGAGACTTTGGAAGCCTTTTGTTTTTTCCCTGTGGCATGTCCAAAGGCATGGCCTTCTCCCTCCCCCTCCCCCCCCAGCAGCCTGCATTGTCTTGCATTCCAGCGACTTGATTGACTGTTGCCACCTGATGCTGAGGAGATAGACTCTAGGGTTGGTTCTGCAGAGTGTTGGGTTCTATTAAAAGAAACCTAGATAAGGGATTACTTGTCACTAAGGGATTTTCTGCAGATGTTTATTAGTGATTGGAAAGCCCTTAGGTGTGAGGAGGTGCAGAAAAATATGGTCCTACTCATGACCCTGAATCCTAAGATGCCCCCACAAAAGCATCAGGAGGACCTCCCTTACTCTAGTAAATGGAATTAGGGAAAATTTCCAAGCAGAGGGTTGAGGGGTTTCTTGTTTTYGTGGCTGATATTTCTACCTGTGGCAGAATTCAGTAGCACCCTCTCAGACCATTTGTTATCCAACATTGGGCCTCAGGAGCCACCAGAAAAGAGGAGTTGCTCCATTGTTAGGGGGTCTCATTATGACATTATTTTATCCATCCCAGTCCACTGGGTGAACATGACCTCAGAGCAAACACTAGGTTAGCAACCCATTTCACCTGTGCACAAAGATTCACCCCTTCCCAAACATTAACCAATAACCCAGTTTCTTCCCAGGAATTTTTTGAAGTTTTGCATTATTTTCATTTATTTTAAAGTTCCTAGCTCCTTGGTGGTGGTTTTTTCTCAATTACAGACCAAAAGCTTGTCAAAGATTGGATGCCTCAAAGAAGCTGAAATTGCTTTTAACAAAAACAGGCATTAAAAGGGAGCCAGCATGGTTTAATGGGAAGACACCTTATTTCACACAAGTCTCTTTTATTTCATAATTTCTGTGTCTCAAGAGAATTGCATTGTTTCTTCACCCATAAAATGATGATTTCTAAACTCTAACTTTTAAAAATAACTTTATTTTCTTTTTCTTTCTTTTTTTAATGTGGTGCTGAGGATTGAACCCAGTGCTTCACACATGCTCAGCAAGCGCTCTACCACTGAGCCACAACCCCATCCCTAACTCTAACTTTTAAACTTCTAACCGATTTTGTCTTTATTTTAAGCTTCCTTCCCTGCCACCACCCCCAATGTATGATTAAGTATGTATAAGTATGATTCCAGGACAAGATGGGCTAGAACAGGGGGGGAGATCTTACTATGAACTATAGTATTTATCAAATGACTCTGCAAAAGATCCCCCGCTGAACACTGTGGGTGATACGCAGAATAAAATCCATGACTTCTCACCTAAAGACACCTGAGGATAAGGTAGACACAAGTAGGTAAAAAGTTACATAACATCAAAACACAAATGCAGAAGATATTCTAAGCCCATGATGAYATCCACACAAAATGAATGTTTAAAGCAGAACAAAACCCACTAAAAAACCTTTAGCAGGCATGGCGAACAATGATAAGAATAATGAGCTAGAGAGCCTGCACAGAATCCCCAATGAAGTTACCTTGATTTGTTCTTTCAAATCCTGTGGCTACTCTTGCCTCCCTCCTCTGGTGCTGATGCTGTTCTAGATGTATCTACCTCCTCGGACAATCTCCACAACGCCCCTCTTTCCTCTTCCCCTGGCTCCCCAGACCTCCCGTGGGGTCCTTGCAGTGGGCAAGGCTTCCGGGATTCTGCCTTCCTCTGGAGCCCCTGCCCACACCCGTCATCCCTCAACGCTTTCTGCYATGTTGCTCCTCTGAGTGTTCAAGGAACATAGATTTTTGTAGAGGCTCTATTGCCAATGGCCAGTGGAACCACACTTCTTGAAATGTTTRTTTTAATAAATGCCAATGATTATGTTTCTGTAGCATTTGGCTAACAGCTCCCAGTCCAAATAGTTAGTGGGTAGTTACACTGCCTAACTGTTCTCCAGCCAGATCCCCTCTCTCAGTAATGCCCGTTTGATAAAATGTGGAGGATTATCTTTGGGAGGAGGAGGGAAGAGTACTCAACAAGTCTGCCTAATGACTTTGTTCTGGTATAAGGTGAGTGGGAGGCTAAGCTCTCCTCCAACAAATCCTCGCGTGTATCCAGGAGCTTTGGGGGAGATCACCAGTGGTTTGTGGGAAAGCTGGATGAGTTCTCAGGAGGGAACGGTGGGTTGCACGCACATCCATGGGTGACTTTCCAGACGGTCACCCATGGATGTGGAACTGTGTGCTAACAATAGGCCAGTGTAAATGTGTTTGGTAAAGGTTGTGCAGAATTCTTCCTTTTGCTAGACACCAAATAGAGCCCCCCCCCYTTTTTTTTTTGCTGGGGAATTACTAGGCTTACCTAAAGAGAACAATTGATTTGCTATTGGGAGTAATAAGCTTKTTTGTCCAATTTTGAATGTGAAAACTGGAATATTGGGTCATTATTTTAGTTTTCTTTACCAGTTACTATCCTGATAAAAAGGTCCATTGCAGCAGTTTGGGGAACAGGTGGGGAGAGAGGCTCAACATGACAATGCCTCTCCTTTTCTGCAGCATATCTGTACTGAGAAAAACATCTTTCATCTGTTATGTATGTAGATAGATGTATCTACAATATAGCCATGGTACTTGTATGTCTTTATATGTAAAAATAAAACAGTCAGCAATGCATAAACGCACCCCTAAAAGATCTCCACTGAGTGTCAACATGTACCTGGAAAGTTATGAGTTGGTAGCATTATTCTGTAAATCCATTATATTGATAATGGGGAAAGATAGACCACATTTTACTATAAGTAACTTRAAAAGAATAATAAATAGGTACACCAGTTGCTACTCCTTTCCCTAGTCAAGAGATGAAACTATTAAATTAACAAGAGAACATAGACACACACACATACACACACATATACACAACACATCTATTAATTGCTGTAGAAGAAAAGGATTTATAAATACTGATCTAAAAAGAATACTTGGGAAGTGTTTATCTTGGAATATAATGACCTTGAGCAATTTCCTTGATCTCTCAGTTTTTTTTTTTTATTGTATAACTGGGATAATAATATCTCACAGAGAATTTGGGAGAATGAAATGACATTCCCATTCAGCAGGTAACCTAGTGCCTGATACATACTAAAATGTTAGTTTTCATAATTATTATCAACTGCMTAAATCATTTTCTTATGGAGCAATTCTAACCTCAAAGCAGTTTCTGATGTGGCATTTTAGGATTCAGTTTAAATTTTATATTTTGTGGTATTATCTTACTCCTTTATGAATGTAGAGTACTTCATAGTACAGATTGTTTTAATACACAATTGAGAGTTCAGCAAYAGTCCTCTGATACAAATCCAGAAGCTGAGATTTTAAATTTTCTTTATTGAAAGTATGGGTTTAGTTTATRTAGATGCTCAATTATTTATTATTTGATTGTGAGAACACATTTTATTTTCATGATGGAAATCAAAAGGAAATATGAATTATATTCTGACAAATTCACTGGAGATTTTCTTCTGGAATGGACCTACTTAATAAAATCAGGAATCCCAACTGCCTCCTTCCTATTCTCTACCCTAAWGTTCACAACGAAATCCTATTTTTTTCAATAGGTCTGCGTGTAGGCTCTGCACAATTCTTTTTCTAAAACTCCACAGAGCTGTCAACCTCATATTACAATGCTACTATATATAATGACTTTACATAAGAGAATAGAAGCCGGCCATTTTTAGAAAATGCAGGTACCATGGAAGCCTCTTTCTGAAAGAATGAACTTAGCTCAGTTTCCTTTGAAGAACTGTAGACCTGAAACTGAAAACTTTATTAATGCCATTGTCTCCTTGTATCAGCAGGTTCCAGAGAGATTCCTGGAAGTTGCGCAGATCACATTACGGGAGTTTTTCAATGCCATTATCGCAGGCAAAGATGTTGATCCTTCCTGGAAGAAGGCCATATACAAGGTCATCTGCAAGCTGGATAGTGAAGTCCCTGAGATTTTCAAATCCCCAAACTGCCTACAAGAGCTGCTTCATGAGTAGAAACTTCAACAACTCTTTTTGAATGTATGAATAGTAGCAGTCCCCTTTGGATGTCCAACTTATGTGTCTAGGTTTTGATTTCATATATATGTGTATGGGAGGCATGGATATGTTATGAAATCAGCTGGTAATTCCTCCTCATCATCATCTCTCTCATTTCCTTTTGTTTTCCACTATGAGGGGATGGTTATTTTTCCTTCCGCCTTTAGTTTACTTTTGCCCACGGCCCTTAACATTTGGAGACTTAACATAGGGTTAATTTTCAGGGAAAAAGAATGTTGGTGTGTGTAAAGTCTACATTAGCAAGGAAGGGCATTTGTGAAAGATGCATCCACTGGGTTGGTGGCTTATTGCAAATGGCGGTTGGCTGAGGTAAACCATGACACARCACAGCTCTACTGACATTGATGTGTCTCTTGTTTTTAATTGTTAAGAAGGTCTGGAAACTCAATGAAACCACTTCATACACTGAAGTATTCTGTTTGGTTTGAACTCAGTAAGTAGCTTTTTCTTATGTGTTTAAAAATAATCCCAATGACAGATGAGCAGCTCACTTTTCAAAAATACCCCAACAGTCCAAATTAAAAAAGAAAAAAAAATAATCACTGTCGGTCTTTTCCTAAGAGCAAAATGGCAAACACCCCCAAACTAGTACCAATTTCTAATGGAGGCAAAGCAATTTTGTACAAAACTAACTCTTTCAAGATAAGACTGGAATCACACATGATCTTTTAGCCACCTCTGTCAACTTTATAATAGGTTCTTCACAATAAGTGAGCTTAGATCACTCTTCATAGAGAAAAGCCCTATAACTTGTTATCATTTTCTATTTATTTTGCTTCAGATATTAAAAGGCACATAAGCTTCAATTATATTCTTTGCTTGACTTTGTTTATATGCTTAAAAGAATTATTATTTGTTTAATCAACTCTCTTTTTTTTTTTTTTTCTAAGACACTATACCTTTCTACAGTAAGGAATAAAAGAAATCCCAATGGACCATAAAATCCTTGCCTACACTACAAGTTTGTTGACAGCTGTCAGCTGACTTGATCTTTGCCTCCTAAGAGGAGGACGTGTGAGAATGACCTGTTTCCATATATACAGCTCTACACTACCCTGATGGGTATTCAAAGTGGCGACAGTCTAAGTGGTTTTTTTTCATTTTAGGTATAACGTTTGAAAGCAATTGATAATGTCTCTTCTAAGTCAGAAGCTAGGATTGACCAAAATGTGAGAATAGTGTATAKCGTAGGAAAATTTGGGGTTAACCCAAAAGACACAATTTTTCAGCACACCTAAGAAAGCTAGCTGCTATTTTAAGCTTTCTTCAATGATTCTCCTCTTTTTCCTTTCTTTTCTTTCTTTTTCCCAGTTTTTTTCAGTGATGTACAATGTCCCATACGTGCATTTAAAAACAAAAAAATCTAACAGCATTCACACTTGTTTTCTTAGATCAATTTTTTATGTGTGGATGGAGTCAAATTCATGATTCATTCTAATGGCGTTTTCCAGGCCCCTCCTTCCCCTCAGATAATTTGATATACACCTCCTAAAATGACACAGTAACAAATCTGGTATTTAAAACATACAGAACATAAATGCCATTTCCCTTAATTTTTATAAAAAAAATCATATTTGACTTTGGAGACTGCAGGTTGACCCATGTGACTGACTAGCTGACCCGTTCGCTGTAATTTAACATCATTTATAAATTCTGCTGATGGACAGGAATGTATGAACACAATTATTGTCAGCACAAAGCCTTAAAACCTGCTGACTTTAAATTAAATGGTGCAGTCCTGTGATGCCGGGCATCATTCAGGAGACTCACAGGCCCTCACAGTGTGGACAGAGTGTGCTGCGGTTGGGGCTGGGGTGCCAACCCTTTCGCTCAGCCCCCACGGTCGCACACATCTATCTCCCAGCTCACACCCTCACACTCATGCACACTGAATCATTAGGATCCAATTTGTCTTTTTTTTTTTTTTTTTGGCTTGCTTAAAAAGAAAAAAAAAGTTTGGATAATCATTATATTGGAATAAAAGTCTAGGGGAAAAAAAAAAAGATTCCAATCAGCACAAGTAGAGAAGCCATCTGAATTTGCTTCATAGGGAAGAGTCTGACATTCGTTGTTCATGTCAGCATGCAACTGGTCTTTGCTGTTCCGGGTAATTCCTAACATCAACGTTGTGTTGTCCTGGACRAGGTAAAGGGCAAAACAGCAGAGCAGTGGTTCACCTGGGTAGACAGATGACTAGGTGTCTTAATCTGGGGCAAGTGAAATATTGATTCCAGACTTATTTGGATTTTTCATATTATTATCCCCTGCCTTTCTAATTTAGATAGATAAATTAAGTAAAAGTGTGTGTTTACAACCTAGTGTCGATGCACTTAGAGCACTGAGAATATCCCCTCAGTGTTTACCGAGGCACAGAAATGATTTCAGAGTCAAAATTGCAGCTTGAGAGAAACTCACCTCTTTGTTCTGAAAACAGAACTCGACCACTCTGCTTTTCAGATAGTTTTCCCCCTTTTACAATCTTGTGCCTCCGAGTGCATTGGAAAATGATGAAAACCTGTCTCTCAAAAACTCCTATTTAACAGTTACTTGAAAAACAAAAATCACCAACTTTCAAATCTTAACTCTCACCACGTGAAGATTGGGTTCCATGGGAGAAAGTTGACTTTCCGCGGTGGGAGGGTGAAGGATGAGGGACAGTTTACACAGGAGAGAAAAAAAAAAAAGAGTCTAAAGTCCATGTTGAAATTCCACATTACACTTATTTTCTGCTAATTCTAAATTAGTTTTACGTGTACACTTGAGGTTATAGTCTGTGCCTAGATCTAAATGCACCAGCGGGGGGATTTTTAAAATCCTTCAAAATACCAGTTTTTTCCCACAAGTACAATTGTTCTTGTGCCTTCTGTGGCTTTCGATTTCATCTTTTTGACTTTATTTCCAATTACTACAGCTGCAATAAACACTAGATTTTTTTTCTGGCTGTTTGACGTAATGTTGATAGCTATGCATATTTTGTGTCTTTTTAAAACAAAGCGGGAGAATACGTTTTTGAAGAAGAGAATTTTTAGAACAGTTTGATACCGCAAATTATTTTTTTCCTCAATTGTTTGAGCAGCATTCGAGTTTTGAAAATTCTTGTAGAAGCCAATTTTTTGTAACTGTGGTGCAAATCTTGTGTTTTCTTAGCCTAATGAAAAGTAGTATAGAAGCAATATTTCATACCATGTGCTATGTATGTGTGTGCAGATGTGTCAACATAAAAAACACATACACACATATACACACATGTAAAAATATACATATATATATGCGTGTGAAGTGGAAAGCTTACCTTTTCCTATCTAGATTTAAGAACCTATTTTAGACATTTGTTATGTTTTGTGAAAAGAATGTTCTATTTGCAACAACAAAACATTTAATTCTTACTGTCTCTCTGGCTGTTTAAATGAGGACGTTTCACATTAAATGGTAAAACACGTGGAAGATGTTAGAATGTAGTAATTATTTAAGTAAATGTTCACCCACATACTCCTGAAGTTTGCTTTGTGCCTCCAAGTATTATTTAATTAAAGTGTTTTATGTTTGCAGAAWCTTTGTTACTGTACTAGGGATGTGGGTGAATATCATTTTAAAAAAAAATTTAAAGCAACAAACAGACAAATAAAAAAAAAGCAAAATGGAAACACTAAAGCAAGAGGGGAACTTTTATAAAGCAATGTAAATATTTAACCTCATGGCTGCTGTTACGTAAGACATGAGATTTTAATAAATAACTACATTCTCACAACAACATCTGTTGAATTTRTTAGGAACACTACAGTGACTGTATAGACAGTTGAAAGCATTCTTGAAAATCCTGCTCTCTACTTTTAAAAGATAACAGTCTCTTTTATCAGATGTCAAGGGCAAGGGTAATGCAGTTTCTGTAAATTTATGAAGTTTCTTTTCTATGTACATGAAGACATTTAGTAAGAACCCCCCCATACACACACACACACACACACACACACACACACACACACATATGCAGGTGAATATTGAGTCATAAAGCTAAAGATTTGGGGGCTTTCAAAAATAGGATGTCGCCCCAGAAGCAGTCATCAATTCATCAAAGACAAAGTGGTTTACAGACTCCCCTTGAAAAAAAGCAGTGTATATGTGAGGACAGTGCAAAACCTCTTTGCCATGTATATTATAGAGTATTCATTGGTGTGAATAGTACAAATGTTTCCTTCTGGTACAAACTCTGTGTTTGCAAATTACAAGAAGCATTGTTTTCAAAAAGCTCCCCTTTAAAAAAATGTAACTGGTTGATATGAGTAAGCAGTTACTGTTTTGCACTTAAATGTTATGTTGAAGGAAATGCAGTTTTGTTTTCTGTAGATCTGTTGGTTATGAACCATCTATAAAACTCAAGCTAAAATGCTCATATTCCGAGCTGGGATCAAAACTGGTATTTAAGCTTTGCATCTTCTTATAATTATCCTTCTAAGAATATAACAGAATGTGGAAGCGTCTGGACTTTGAGTCTTTTCAACTGAGCCCTCTCTTAAATCAGACACCCCCTAAAATGCACAAACATGAGCAGAAAGGCAAATGGGCTAGACTTCCTTGGGGAAGATGGATTCATTCTGTATTTTTTAAATATTCAAGTCCTCTATATAGGGGGATAAAAATTCAAAATTGTATATTACCACTTTAAATTTAGAACTAGAAACAAAAAAAAAATGTATTTGGGGTTGGTCTCAGCACTACCTAGAAGAATCAAAGGTCATGGCTTCCCCCAATATTGTCCCAGCCATTCTCATATGTATATAGTATAAACCGTGACAAAACACTGCCTTTATATTATTTAGCAATATGTTGTAAATAGCATTATGAAGCTCTTTTTTTTTGTAATAAAGACCCTTTGATTTGAATATAGTACAATAACAGAACTGATAAAGTCAATTTTTGATTTTTTTTTTAGCTAGAGGCAATTTCAATTGTGGATTTTTGTTATTGTCTATTGTTCTGAAGACTTTGCATAATTTATTGGTTTAATTTATCCTAATTTATTTGATGAAGGTGTACAATTTTGTATTACCAAGGATGTACTGTAATATTAATTGATATGATAAAACAATGAGACTCCCTGTCCATATTAAAAAGAAAATTAAAAGGTGCAGTAGACAATTGATTTTAAAGTAAAAGTAAAAAATTTAGTTTGGCAGCTACTAAATTTTAAAACAGGAAAAAAAATTAAGTTGTTGTGGGGAGGGAGGGAGGGAGGGGGTTTTACTTTGTGTGTTTTAAGCTTTTGTATTCTCTCCAAACTTTTACCTTTTGCTTTGTACCACTTAAAGGATACAGTAGTCCAATTGCCTTGTGTGCCTTCCATCTTCTCTTAAACTGAATGTATGTGCAGTATATATGCAAGCTTGTGCAAAATAAAATATACATTACAAGCTCAGTGCCGTTTGAATTTTTTTATTTGAAATGCATGACATTTCTTGTTTGGACCTGGGTGCAATCGTAAGGCAGTAGACTAGTTGTGATTGTATTATCAAGTATAGAGTTTTCCTTGGGTTACAATTCTTAGTTGCATCAATGCATGCAACTCCTAGATCTTTCTTGCAGTAAATGCTGTAAATGGCTAGATGTCGCTTGGAAGCCTCTTCTCTCAGATTTGCTCCGCCCTCAAACTAAAGTTCAATTGTTAATGTCAAATGATTCAAAGAACAAGGAAAGATGTTCCTGACAGTCACATAATGACAAATTTATTACTTAAAATATGGGATCCAGCACTTGCATTATGTCTATTTCTGTTGAACTCAGAACTAAGTAATGATGTAAATTTTCAAAATCTTCCTAAAATRATCCTCTAGACAGTTTTGATAGAATGTTTCATACTAAGAAGACTGATTGTAAGGCTTTATAATATTTCATAGATCAAYATTCTTCTTTGTTTTGAAATCATGTCTTCTTTTTTGATTTAGAGATGATTGGAGTGTGTTCCCAGGAGTTTCATGTGCTAGAAGYTTGGTCCCCAGTGTGGTGTTGTTGAGGGGTGGTGGAATCTTGTAGAGGTGGGGTCTAGTGCAAGGTAATTAGTCATTCAGGGAGCCATCCTCAGAAGGGATTAAATGCTCTCTGGACCCTGGTTAGTTCCTGCAAGAGCCAGTTAAAAAWAAAAGATCAAGCTTAGTCCCTGA